AATAAAAAGTTGAGAAGAAAACGAACTTGAACTTATCTTCTAATGAGTTCGCAAAGAATTTGTGAACGATGGCTTTTCAATAACGTTTACAATTTTCTAAAATTATAAGAGATTTAATTTGGTTTTAATGTGAATTTTGCTTTATCTTCCATTAGAAGTAAATCCTTGTGACAGTCATCCTTGTCATAATGGTGGAACTTGTTGTCCTACAACTGGAGGGAAGTTTAGTTGTGACTGTCCTAGAGGTTTCAAGGGTAAAACATGTGATATAGGTTTGTTATAATTATTATCATTGGAAATAACAAAAAACTTTCTTGAAATTCTACTAACGACTGTGTTTTCTAATAACTTTGCAAGTACTCGAGAACAATGGCTTTTTAAAAACGTTTACAATTTTTTAAAATTATAAGAGATTTAATTTGGTTTTAATGTGAGTTTTGTGCTTTATCTTCCATTAGAAATAAATCCTTGTGACAGTAATCCTTGTCATAATGGTGGAACTTGTTGTCCTACAACTGGAGGGAAGTTTAGTTGTGACTGTCCTAAAGGTTTCAAGGGTAAAACATGTGATATAGGTTGGTAATTATTATAATCATTGGAAATTACAAATAATTTTCTTCAAATCCCACTAGAAACTGTGTTTTTAATGATTTTGCGAAGAACACAAGAACAATGGCTTTTTAAATACGTTTACAATTTTCTAAAACTAGAAGAGATTTACCTTCGTCTTAATGAGAGTTGTGTGCTTTATCTTCCATTAGAAATAAATCCTTGTGACAGTCATCCTTGTCATAATGGTGGAACTTGTTGTCCTACAACTGGAGGGAAGTTTAGCTGTGACTGTCCTAGAGGTTTCAAGGGTAAAACATGTGATATAGGTTTGTTATAATTATTATCATTGGAAATAACAAAAAACTTTATTGAAATTCTACTAACGACTGAGTTTTCTAATAACTTTGCAAGTACTCGAGAACAATGGCTTTTTAAAAACGTTTACAATTTTTTAAAATTATAAGAGATTTAATTTGGTTATAATGTGAGTTTTGTGCTTTATCTTCCATTAGAAATAAATCCTTGTGACAGTAATCCTTGTCATAATGGTGGAACTTGTTGTCCTACAACTGGAGGGAAGTTTAGTTGTGACTGTCCTAAAGGTTTCAAGGGTAAAACATGTGATATA